ACTCTGTCCACTATCATCAAAAACACACTGTGAACTATGGTGTTTGTGAACAATTTTCTAAATTCATGGACTCTGACCAACAAACTCGTAGAAATTACTCCGACAGCGTAATTTCTAACAAAAGCTATTCCGAGGCCTTTGCCACTCCTACAAAAAGCCTGGCTAATGACGCCAGTAAAATATACAAAAAACTCTTGAAATCAGCGATCTCGTACAAAGCATCCAAGAAAGGCTTGGCTTCAAAATCACACTCTTCCTCCGTGAATCCGCCGCTGCATCATGGATAATATGCCAAACTGCACTTCCTCCATTTTCCTGACAGTACGGAATATATGCAGTCTAAAAAACAAACTTGTGCGAGCTGCATGATTTCATTCTGGAGAATTATACTGACATTTGTAAAGTTACTGAGACACCAGCCATGCCTAATGATAAATTGTAAATCATGAACTAATATTCCTATCGTTGTAACAGGCTCCGGCACAGATCTATGTGAATATTGAATTTTAATCTTGCTTAATTTCCTCCCCCCAACCTGACGGGATAGCGGTTAATGGTTTTACTAACTGCCGTACCGAAGGGCTCGGGTTCGAATCCAGAAGAAGACATAAATGTTTGTAAATAGCTGTGCGGCAAAGGGGGCACTCCAAGTACATAGTCAACCGAAATCCCCTCGAGAGGCTGATCGGACGTCCCTCCGGGCTGTTTTCCCTTGGAATTACAAACTATGGCAGAAGCTAATCAGCTTGCTAGGTACAGCAATACCTCAATTACTTAAGGCAGTTAGTTGCCTAGAAACAGTTAGCTAGGTACAGCAATACCTCGATCACCTAAGGTACTACAAAGAGTATGGCCTAATTTCTATCTGTACCTGCTTAATCTCACAGGACGTCTCAGTCACTCTCCCAAGCTACAGAGACGTCTTTCTAGTCGCAGTGCTCTACTTCTGAGACAAGAAACTTAGTCATAATGTTCTGTTCTCCATCATCCACGACATCATGCCAATCATTGTTGACGGAGATTTAAATGCAAAACATACTTATTAGGGTTGTATAAACACTAGTTTAAATAGAAAGTCTCGCGCCAATTCATCTTCAATAATCCCATCTCAATCTATCTGCCTGAGGAAACTACACACATACCTTTTCGCCCAAAAGACACTGAGACATAATATTTACTAACTTCGGCATCCTTGTTGCAATAGATATTACGGATGCGTTTACTTCGGACCATATGCAGAACACAACTGCACTAGGTATCACAAAAATTAAGTCGGCTAAGTTTAAAGCCTATACAAATTGGGTCCTTTTTCTTAACTTGCTCAAGAAAACCCTTACCTAAAAGCAAAGCTCTCTCAGATCACTCCGAGATCAATAAAACGACTGATGAACTTACTATTCGTTTAAACGATATGAATCATGTATCTACCAACATTGTGACTAAAAGAACCCTGTTGAAAGCTCCCAAAAAATATATGGCAGATTATCAGAATAAAAAATAAAAAAAAAAAACATCCTTCCTAGGAGATAGCAGCTTACATGGGATCTGGCAATCACAACAAAGTTAAATGGCGTCAACAAGTAATGGACAATTATCCCATGGAATGAGGATGAAGGACGAGCAAATGCATCCAAAAAGAGATCATATATCAAATAGTAATTGAGAAAATTGCTCTCTATCGTGCACCAATATGGGCCTTACTAGGTCCACCAGAAGGAAAAAAAAAATTCATTTTTTGCTTTGTCCATGCCTGCTACAGGAATTACAGGATTTACAAGTACCTACAATTCTAGGAAGCTATCATATGACATCAAAATTAATCCTCTGCTAAATGGCAAACAACACTACTCTTGATACGTGCTGTGCAAGAATATGACAAGGCATCAGTTGTCCAATTATGAAAGAACAAGATACAATTCCATACAGCTAAATAGCAGAAAATTATGTGTCACCAGCACACTCCTATGAAACACCTTCCAAGAAAGCAGAATAACATTACCATAAACATGACTAAGAAATAAACGAAATTAAATTCACACAGATGGTTCCAATTTGAAAGAAGGGAAGGGCTGTGCAATGAAAATCTGCATTAACCCCAATTCATTCACCTCTGAATAATTATTTCAGTTAGATCCACAAAACAGTCTATCCAAGTGGAATAAATAGCAGTATTAGAGGCGACAAATTCAGCATCAGCAACTCCTTCAGGAAACAAAATATTTACCAGCTTTTGCTAAGGCATGTGATTCAACACAGAACAATATGTAGAACTCTATATGAAAACTACTAAGCAGGAGACATAGAGAAATACATAGTTACCCTTGATGAGGAATGTGCTTACTTAAATAACTGCAACATTAAAAAAAAAGCTTACTTATTATCGAAAATGAAGAGAAAAAAAAATGCATTAACCTAGTTCCATCAATGCGAAGAAAGTTTCAGTAAGGGGCTTACGATTGCTGCAACATTCTCTTAAAATGAGACATGAAGAATAAGAAAAGTGGGAAACAATTTAAAATCAACTCAACCAATTACCAAGAGAAAGTTTTACGTTCAATATTTATGAAAGAAATTTTATCTTTATCCCAATGATTTTCAGACAGTGAAATTTCATCAAGACAAAGCAACAAGTTAAACTTCAAAAAGGAAGGGTATTGGTATTGCAAGTATACCATTTCAACATACTCCTGCAAAAGTCCTCTGTTTCACCTATGGACTATAGTGCTTCTGGTCTCATGAAATACATAGGTGTATGTAATACAATATCACATAAACTTTATCACATAGTACACATAAACAAAATCACATAAACTTTGCACCATGTGTCATTAAGTTTTTTTTTTTTTTTTTTTTAAGTGCAAACCCAACATGATTGATGGACTCCGGAAAGTAGTGGGAAAGGAATGGAAACCAATATGCCTGGAAATTTTATGAAAAACTCTTCTATCATAGAAATCACAATGAAGACGTATAATCTTTCTCAAAAAAGCTCTCAGGTTGAACATTTAAAAAAATATTTCTTACATTTTAAATGTTAATAAAATGGTCCCCAAATCATTCTTTAAATGTGTAAACGTAAAAATGCATTGTAGTTATGTACTACCTATTGGCATCAGTGCTTTTATCTGATAATTTTTCGTTTTTAACTAATTTAACTATTCTGGAAATATAAGTCCTTGGATGCAAATATTTAAAATTTCTTCCTTACCCCAAAAGAAGGCTGCGAGCTTTTCTTGAAGTACCATGATTTTCTCCGCAATAAAATTGTCCTAGTCATTGCATCCAGTGACCTACCATGTCTGAAGAAATATGTGCTTTAGTCAGCTATTCACATACAAACAAATTTCTGTATAATTCCTCTGTACTGTTTGATGAATATTATCACTATAAAAAATTCTCTTTTAAATTGGTAAATATTTACCTTATAAAGTGATGTTTGAATAAGAAGTGAAGATTTGAAAACTGAAATGATGTTTGTCAAAGCCATGAAATTTGAATAAGCAGTGGGCATCACACTCGCACTATAGCTGATGGAATTCTACATTAACTTACTTAAGTACATGCCCTTCATTGTTTATTCAGACTCCAGACTTTCAGATCATGGTGCACTTTGGGTTGTTTCCACTCAATCTCCTGACAATATTTATTTCTATGTCCTGTTTCATACTATCCAAATGATCCTTAGTATACCTTCAACTTTCATGAATTATTCCAAATATCACATAAACTTTGCACCATGTGTCATAAAGTGTATAGTTTCAGAAATTTCTTTCCATTGTTAGAATAAAAGAAACTGAGCATGATAGATTTGGTAAAAGTATCCAAGAATAGATAAACAGATGTGGTAAAAGTATCCAAGTATTAATGAGCAATTTTCTCGGTTTTTCTTAAACACAGTATTTGGAAAATAATAAATTTTGTCATGCTGCCCTGATGATACACCAATAATAATTTTGGTATTTTAATAAATTTCAAGAAAATGCTTGTAAGGCAGTTTAATTTAAAATATAAAATTCAATGCTTTACACTCTTTTATATAGCAATTACATAAAATTCAAGGATTTAGATTTTCTCTCATGAGCTCAATTAATCAATCAACACATAAAAGCTTTTTATAGTTAAAATAACTAATAAGTTCTGAAAGACTCACTTCCGATGGAGAGCACAGTGTTAGTATGAAGAGAATGTATTATATAACATCTGTGACACTATAAAATTTTGATAAGAAAAATCTTTGCACAATAAATGCTAAAAAAGTAGGGGGAGGACTAAAAATCCTCAACTTCATAATTATCACACAGCAAGCCATTTCAAACAGGTATTCGAAATCATTAAATGTGAATTAATAAGCTAAAGAATATTAATTACAATATATAATTAAAATTATGAAATACTAAGACTGCATACCTTTTTTTTTTTTACTTATTTAAAGGCTTGACATTTTATTTGAGTGAACTAACAAGTAAAGCTTTTGAATTTGCATCCTTCTTTTATACCTCATTTCATTAAGTACTTGCACACTCCAGACAATTACACAGATTTAATTGAAATTACTTCATACATGCTAGACTCAAACACACTTCCAGAGTGCTGATTGATAGTCTGGATTGTAAGAACCACTTATAACTCTCCCACCCCTGGCATCTTATATTCACACTATCTGTCTCATAGAAAAAGTGCTTTCTGCAAGATTTTTTAAGATCCTTGGGCTTTAAGATATTACACACATGGAGATATTAAAAAATTCCCCAGTGCAGCACTTTTTTTTTTTTCCCAAGAATTAAATTCAGAATGAAATTAGCACTAATACTTGTTTATTTCATCTACTTGGATCAATAGATGAAAGGAAGAAATAAAATCTTAAATTTATAATATGTAATTCAATTGTGAATTATATGTAGCATTATATGCTTCAACAATGGTTTTTAAATAGTCACAGAGAGACTTTAAAATCACTTTCTAATATTCAGCCATATTGTAAAATATTCTGTACAACACGCTTAAATATGAATAAAAGAATTTATTATTTGTAAAAAATGCAAAATATATACATATAAAGATATTTAAATACAATGCATTTAAACATTTTTCATTTTCTTTCTTTTTCCTTCTTTTTTCTTAGAATCAGACTTCCTCTTACTTTCAGTTTTCATATGAACTTGATCATCATCTGAGCTGGAAGAAGCTTCTAGATTTGGAAATAGAAAAACAATTGTTGTAATGAGCTTAAAATACTATAATTACCTTTAAATGAACCCAATGGTAATTTTAATTACACTCTGGCAATATATTATTTAATTCCCATTTACCAAAACTGAAATTTTTATTATTTTCTTCACTCTTTGGTACAGAAACTAACTTTTTTTTATTTATTTATTCTATTTCTTCTCTTTGGTTGTGGAACCATGCACCTAATACTCTGTTTTTGTAAAAAAAACCTAGTGCTTAATTTTTGTTTTGTCACTGTGCAATCAGTCAACAATTTATGTGTAAACTTCTATTGTGGCTAATTGATTTGCACAAAATTGAGAGCATATACACAATTTTTAAAGTCTGATAAAAATGTCTTAGCATAATTACAGAATTAATGTTTTCTTTTTTATTAATTTTATTATTTTTATTAATTATATTTCTCATGCTCATTCATATTTCTCACAGTAGAGTTTCGTATTAAATGTCTACAATAATGTTTTCAAAAAAATATCTCACTATTCAAACGGGACTCAATATCTTGGATAATGGGCAGACAAATTATAAACATTATAGTAAACATCTATGAGACTGAAAAAAACTTTGGGGCTAAGGACTTATTTTTGGTGAAAATAATAAAAAGGAGTGCAGTTTAAGGAATCTTCTCTTGTAGTCATGTTATTTCTTATAAACAGATACTTTCTATAAGTGCAGGTGTAAAAAGCTCAAATTGAATCAAATGTTAAATGTAAACATCAGTCCTGGAACTGGTTTTACTAAAGTGTTCTAGGAAAGGTTGAGGCAGTCTCTGAGTTTTTTAAATATTACTGAATGGAATAGTTACCAGGGAGATGCAAATAATGTAATGTACAAAATTAAGTAGCACCTTAACAAAGGACATGGTATGCATAGGCAGTTAGTGAGGAAGTCAGTAGATAACCATATTTTAAGAAATCAGAAACTCTTACACACTAAAAAATTTCAGTTTTGTATGAGTCATCCAAAGGTATAGTACAAGCAGCTTAATCAACATAATTTAGAAATGTTACTTCATAATTCAAATTTTTGGATTCTAACTTTCATTTGAAACATATGTTTTTAAATGAACAACAGTTCAAAAAGCACAGACTAATTCATAATTAACACAAGTTAGTTAAAATCATTTATATTTAGTTATTATGACATCTGAGTAATATGCAGTATGCTATGTTGGCAACATTTTATACTTTGACATGATGCAACTTTTTGCATTCCTCATATTACAAAAACAATACCCTCGCTACAAGTGTTAAAACTTAAGTCATGCATATTAGGTTGCATATTAATACAAATATGATTTGCTTTTCAGAAATTCTGGCAAAATTATGTAACTAAACTCTATTAGTAGTTAAAAAAATGCTCGATCACATAGCAATTATTTAGAACAGGTCCCCCCCTCTTGAAAAATGGGCAATAATTTTATATTTGGGCTTGCACAGCTAGAAAATTAGATAATCCTGCATTAATATATATTATGCTCCCAGTAATGGAAGCTTTCATCATCTAAAAGCTGCCTTTAAAATGAAAATTTACTTAAAACTTTGAGTATTTTAATTAAAGGTAATCTTTATCACTATCCAAGTTTTAACTGGTTTTTGTAAAAATATCTTCATTTTTAAATCATTTTAACAAAAACCAAAATCTGTTTTGTCATAATTAGAATTATTGCTAAAAGTTGTTCCAAAAAGTTTACTTTGGTATAGGGTTGTAAAGAAATACAAATAAAATTGGATTCCGTTTTATTTAAATCAGTTTTTTTTTTTTTTTTTTTTTTTTTAAATCTTTTCTTATATTACCTTGTAATGACACTTTGAAGGTTTTTTTAAAAAATTAAACTTTAACTAATTAGTGTTAAGAAACATAATACATGTTTTTACATGTAAAATAACATAATAATTAGATATTATATAAATTATAAGTAATTTTATTAATTAGAATTAAAAAAATATAAAGCAGTTTTTTTGGCATTTGTATTTTCTTCAATGCCTTATATAAACTTACACCCACGTATATACATATGAGGGAAGTAGAAGACTCTCGAAGTTTTATCTTTTATACAAATACAAATAAACAGAGTAAATACAGTCATAGGAATGGCATTTATATCTGCTCTGCAATCAACATAACTTTACCAAAAAACTTATCACATTATTTGATCAATACTGCATTTTGTGCTTTAAAAAAAAAAAAAAAAAAAAACTTTTGTTTTTTTGTCAATTTGCTGGATGCAATTCTAAAAGTAGAAAACATTCTTCATACCTTGTTGATGAAACACCTGTGTTTAACATATCAATTATGTCCTTTCCTTTATTTCCTATGCATTCATTTACAAGAATTATTTATTTTCACCAATCAAGTGTGGTAACTGAGTTCACTGTCCCATTTTGAAAAAAGATTCCACAGAAAGATTGAGCAAAATTATAAATTTCACTGTAATGTTTAACAAAAAGTAGCTGCGTATTTTTGTTTATTAATTCCAATGTCTATTCCATTTAGGTGGCAAGTAAAGCTCCATTTTGCAATTTAAATAATTGTACACATTCTTTACCAAGACATTTTAATCTGTTTTCAAGATCTTTTCAAACTTTATCAGCTTCAATGCTGTAATTATTCTTATGGATTTCATCAAATGACTGAAATGAGCCTCAAAGTAAGAGATTATCTACATCTTGATTAACTCCCATATTAAGAACTTTTGACTGAATATTTTTGTTCACTGCATCTCAATTCCCTTCATAATTTGCATTAGAGTTGCTGAATTTTTTATACACTTTTCAAGGAAGTCACATGCTTAATTCCAACATTATTCAGATGGTTATACTTAAATGATTTCCATTGTATTCATTAAATCTGGCTCAGGAAAACTGGTTACTTCAAAAATATTTTATGACTTGAATAACACGCTCAGTAACATCTGACATACTTAGATCTTTGCTTAGTAAATTAAGTAAATGCACTAAATAACCGTAAGATATAAGTTGAAAATTGCTTACTAATTTTTTTTCGAATTTTTATTTTTGCCTTATTTGCTACAAAACTATGAATTTGACAATTAAATTTGTTTTTACTTTTTTGATGGCATTAGTAGTGAAATTTCGCTAGTCATGTGGTATTAATGATTCTATTAAATGTACATCAAGTAGGGAGGGGAGACCAAACTCTGTATCTCTGAATTTACTGAGCCAGTTGTCAACACTGACTTAGGATAAATATTAGATTTACATATAGCTTTGTTTTAACATATGTATTTTGACACAAGATTGGACATTTTCTGAAATGATCTACCTTTTTTTTTTTTTTTTTTTTTTTTTTTTTTTTTTTAATATATATTAATTCGATCCTATGCCTCAAATTATGCAGAAGTGCCAAGTTTGTAAAAAATTGCCTACATAGTTTTTAAAAAATTATTCTCAAAATTTTAGCTCCTCAGTGTGAATTTGATATATATATATATTTATTAATATCTATTTTTTTATTAAACTTGCTTGATTTCTTCTTTCAAAATTTGAAATTCAGGTTCAATCTAAGTAAAATTCACATTTTTGTATAATTTATTTTTTAATAATATTCATAAATTTTCCAATAAAAAAATTTGAATTATAACCCATAAAATTTTTTGCCATCATCTTAAAAGTATTTATTTTAAGGCATACCTGGGGAAAAAATTAGTTTTTTATTCAAAATTTCCTAAAATATTTGTGAATTTATACATCAGCAGGTTTTGAAATTTATCATATTTGTTACATGTGATAATAACACCAAAATGGTTTATACACTTTGTTATAAACTTCAGTGAATTACAACAGTTAATTTTAACCTTAAATTTCTAAATCAATTTTTAATTTTAATGAAGATCATTCATGGGAAATCTCTTTTTTCATTTATATTAATAATGCATATTAAATACTTATTAATAATACATAAAAAGGTACTTTTTTAATTTATAAAAAACATTTCTCAAAAGTTTAAAGGATTGCTCCCTACACCATTTTATTCTCTGCTATTTTACTTCATTTTATATGCAATGAAATTTAATTTGCTGATTTTAAAATTATGCATCATATATGCATTCAATGTTGTTTAGATGGTACAGTGGTTAGGGAAGCCAACTACGGTTCCGAAGGGCCCGGGTTCGAATCTCGGAGAAGACATGGATATTTGTAAATGTATAGTGTCGGTGCGGCATCGCGGCACTCTAAATATGCGGAGAGCCATAAGTCCTTTCATGTGGATTGGTGGAAGAGAAGAAGGATGTGAGACCCCCAGATTTCCACCCCCCCCCGGTGCTCTCCCTCAAAATTGGGAAGTGGAAAATTAGAAATACAACCTCTCTTCAGAGTAGGTTCTTGCAACCATTGTTCCATGTTATATGGACAAGAAAACAGCAACATATGCGTCTAATATTTTTGAACATGTTCAAAGAATATGTCAAAAATATAAATAAAGATGCTATCTTCTACTACAGAAATGTTTAACAGCTGTAAAATTTACTAGAATATAAGATTTTTATCTTCTCTTCTGTGTATAGCAAAGGCAAGAAATAAAAATGAATTTGAAGATGTTTTATGTCTAAAGAGATTTCATGGCCTTTACTGCATAATAAATTTCTTGAATGAACTGTTGTTTACATTTGAAAGGGCCCTAATTATCATCACAAATCTTTTTTTCAAAGAAAAATATATTTTTATGTAAACATAGGATTTAGAACAAACACATTTTTAAACGTAAAACTGTGATTTGTCAAGAATTGAATTCTAATTATTATACTGAGTTTTTGGTTTCCTTTGTTTAAAAATCGAACATAAATTAGGCTTATTGGTTAAAATAAGGCAAAATACATGGAGACCATTTGCTTAAGAGAAGGAATGCCTTCACAGCGGACTTTTCTAAGGAAAAAAAGGCTCTCACTCATGTTGCACATGACGAAAATCATGAAAACCATGCAGTCAGCTCATTTGCCTGAGTTGGTTTGCAAGACAGTCTTTAACAGCTTGGCTACTAGTCGACACATTTAAATTAAAAGCCAGATTAATAGATTCGTAAAGCATCTTATCTTAATTAACCATAGCAACATAAAAAGTTTGTAGCAAAAAATAAACTTATCTACTTGAAGACCTATTTCAGATTCTGGGGGTAATGATGTTTTTACAATATGCTTATTTAGATTCGAATTAGTGCACAAATCATCTTTATGCTTCAGTTTACACAGTCATGAGAGAGAGATATTTTCTTACATTGAACTAACATAGCTTATTATACACTAAACAGCCATTGAAATTGCAAGAGTATGAAGGAAAGAAAATAGAAAAAAGATATTTATTGCATGTAAAACAGTATGGCATGAAGACAAAATGATTAAATTTGTAAGCCTATTGGAGGTTTACAGAGTTGCTAAATAAGTAGAAACAGCAGCCACCACTGGTAGCTAAAACGGCCCTTACCATTAGGCATGGAGTCGAACTGGGCAACTCATTCCATGCTGCTTCAAGTCTATGACTGCACTGCCACATTTCCTCAATGTATTAACTGGGAAGGGTGGTGGGCCAGTCTCTCAGCAACCCATGACCAGATGTTTCAATGGGTGACAGATTTGGAGACCGTGCAGGCCAGGGCAGCAGTCACATACCCTGCATATCGAGGAAGGTCAGGACACAACGCGCAACATGTCATCATTCATTATCTTATTGGAACATAACATTTGGAGGCTTCAAAGATAGGGCACAACCACTGGACATAAAATGTCACAAATGTATCCATCTGCATTCAAATTACCGTCGATCCGTATTAGAGATGTGAGTGTCGTGTACCCAATGGCTGGTGAAGAGCCCCTATGACAATATCAAATGCAAGTCATCAGAATACTGCGCGTAGAACCTTATGCCACTCCTGTATCCAGCTTTGTCGTTCGGCACACCAGAATCACTGTCTCTCTCTATGCTACATTTTTACGGGAAGCCAAAGTAATGGTCACCCTGCTGATAGTCCACGCTGCTGCAAACATCAACGCACTTTATGAGCTGATACTGGGCATGCTGCAAATATGCCCATTTCCCAACTAATGGCCCAAATTGTGGTCTTACAGTTTTGCAGGGCCAACCTCATAATATGTCTGTCCTCTCTGGTAATAATCATAGGAGGGAGTTCAGATCTTCCATGCCATTCAGCATGACCCTCGGCAATCCATTGATTCCATATTCACATGACGGTCAGTTGTCGACCAGTGTGACCAGCGATATCACAGAATGATAATCTATACTTTCGATAGGCAATGATCCTGCCTGTATCGAATTTCAATACTTGCTGGTAAGTATTTTCTCTTCTTATTTGAAGCATAACATGATATTCTGAGCAAACTCCAACCTCACAAAGCACTATCTGAAAGAGAAGTCCACTACACAACTTTTCTTTCATGCAGTACTTCAGATGTCGCTTCTCCCTCCTGTGTCATCTGAATGAGCTGAAATATTAGTCATTTGCATATCCCAACTTCTTCCTTTCATGCGAATTTGACGTTCGTCAGATCATTCCTTCTTGGTGTTGCAATTTTAATGGCCAGCACTGTATTTAAAAAAAATAAATAAAAAAAAAAAAAAAAAAAAAATCCTTAAAAGTTTTTTTTTTTTTTTTTTAGTTTGTATTCAGTAATTAAAATCTCTTTGAAAGCATTACTTTAATCTTTTAATACATTTCCCCAAGATTAAAAAAATAAAAGAATATGTGATTTTAATAAATGATTTCCATTAATCTAAATCTCCTAATTATAACCACTAACACTCTGCTTTGAAATACAATTCTGAAAATAAAAATGCCATTAAAATATAATTATGAGTATGAAAAAAGATTTGAAAAGCTTCATTTATTTTGTAACTTTTCACATAACTTAAAATTTAATAAAATAAATATTAAGCAATTTCAAAATTGCAAATTCCTAAAAGTAAATAAGTAAGAAAACAATTAGTACTAATAAATATAATAAAGCAAAAACACAGAATGTAAAGCTTAAACAAATATAAGTGAAAGCTACAAAGAGTAATTTTTTTTTTAGATTTATCATCACAAAATGTTAAACATACCACCACCATTATTAGGTTCCCACAATGCATTTCTAACAAATCGCTGTGCTGCTTCTTTATTTAAAACAGGTGCTTTGTCTTTATCAGCAATTTCTTGTACTCTTCCCATGAAATTCTTATACCTTTCCTAAATTAATTAATAATGAAAATGAAATGAAATGAAAATACATAATAGAGAAGAGTTTTTTATGTATAAATCTAATTTTGAAAAGAAAATGTTTAACAATGTGAAAGTCAATTATATCAATTCATCTGACAAATGGCAATTCAAACATAAAAATATTCTACCGATATCTTCTCTGTATCAGCTCAATTTTAGTACATGTACTGCCGAAGTCTGTTTAATATAGCAAAAAGCATATCAAAGCTAGCTGCCAAAGTGAAGAGGTGCATTAGAGGAAGACCTCCCAAGGGAAGCTGATTCATATTTATGTTACACATGGAGAAACTCTTCCTTCCCCCCCCCCCCGAAAAAAAAAATGGAAATCATACAGCCAACACATTTGTCAGGATTCAAATTTGGCTTGAACAACTAGTGTTTAGCAATCTTATTCACCTGGCCACTGACATGCATTATTCTTTAAAACTGTCACTAATAATGGCGAATATAAAAAAAGTCTGCAGAAAATAAAACATTCATGCAGATAGCATAAAAGTGGTATTTCCCATACTCTCAGTCCATGGCATCTTTTAGGCACAAGTATTTTTTCATGCTGCCTACATCGGAACATGATTTACATTTATGTAAAACTCCATGCATTAAGTTTGGTCAATTACAGTGACTGAGTCACACAAAGTAAACAAATCATATATATAAATTTCAGAAACAATTTATGAATTAAATAAGCGTATAGTTTGAAAGCACCATATCACTAAGTACATAAATTAAGATTACGGGGAATAAATCATTCGGAACTACTCTGATATGCGCCCTCAAGGCAGCAAATTTCTCACCAAATATTTTTGGCGAGAAACTCCACGCTGCCATATTGCTATCTAAATTTTTTGTCTACATTTCGAACTTTAAGCCTAAAATGTCTCCAAAAACGACGGTTTTCGCGACATGCAAAAATCCACGTTTTGAACACACAATTTAAGCTAAAAATCCGAAACAAAAACAAAAAATTTAGATAGCAAAAACCGTGAAAATTTCTAACCAAAAATTATTTTACAAGAGTCCATGTACACAGCGATATGTTTTAATTTAAAAAATATCTACGAATGGCACAATCTAGGCAACGAACGAATTTACGAACTACGCACACCTCGCTTTAATAAAATTAACATAACATATAAATTTCAAAGAATACCATGTACACAGCATCCTGTTTCAACTTAAAAAAACATCTACGAATTGCACAATTTAGGCAACAAACGAATTTACGAACTACGTGCACCTCACTTTAATAAATTAACATAACAACAATAAATTTCAAAGAATACCATGTACACAGCGTTCTGTTTCAACTTTAGAAAACATCTACGAATTCAGGCGGTACGCACTAATCAACAAAATAACTAAAATAAATTTCAAACAATTCAAAAAAACAACAATAACGACAGAAATTCATACTAAAAAAACAATGAACATTACATTCTACAAAATAAGAACAAGAATAAAATAAAATGCACTTACCATTAATGCTTTTTCGAACAGCAGATATACCAATTTCATACCGCTTTTAACATACCGCCACGTAATCACTAGTATCGTATTTATATGAAAGCCAGACACACTATCCAGAAAATTCATACTATGGTTCACAAATAAATAAAATAACAAATAATCACAAATCCCTACTTCTATCACGCACAACCACTAAAAATAATCTCCCATACCTTCTTTCCACACCTCCAAATACCCATTGCCCCTCAACAGGATGACCACGACGATATTTCCTTATGCCGAACTTTAATTCAACAACTTTCACCATTAAATCTTTTCCTCCTAGCTTCTCAGACACAAAGCATAACAGGAACCAACGAACTCCAGCGAAAGACTTTTCAATATCAACAGGGTTGTCATACAACACGCAATCGCGCCAAAAACCAGCGCAGAACACATATCGCCACATTTGGTGAAATTAGGGTGTATATCAGAGTTGTACCAGTCATTCTTCTTTTTATTCTAAATCTTTTAAAAACCTAAAATTTAACTAGACACAGCCAATTCTCATTTCCTATGGATTTTCTCATCTGCTTTTTATCTCATAAGAAACTACCAAAAATCTACTGACATTATAAAAACAAATAAATTAATAAAAATGATAACAAATGTAATTACGAGGCTTGAAGATTACTACTTAACAGTAGATATTCATATTGCAAAAAATTCGTTTCCAAAAAATATTAATAAATAAATATAAAAAAGCAAGAAACAGATAATTTCATTTTCAACTAAAATTTATTAACAGCAGTGTTAATGTAATGCTGAAATGTCATGGAAACACAATCATACCTAATACACCAACAAAAAGGGACAAATCAGGGTTACTAAATTCTAAATTTAGTTTATTTTTTAATATACATTATCAAATAAAATTGTCAGTTAGCCATAAGAAGCAATGACAATGTTTTCATTTCAATTCAAGAATGCAGGCCAGTAACAGTGAAATGATATGAGAAGAGTGCATTTAGCTTCAATAGCTGAGCTGTCACTTCAGAAAGCCACTTGATATGCCAGTATATTCTATCACATGGGTCCATTGCAGGAGGACCCTAGAGAGAAGCTGGTGTTCTGTCAAACATGTCTGGACTTTGCAGATACTTGATGAACCACATTTCTGAGAGTATGTTGTTTGAAAAATAAGACCTCTGGCTTCATATTTTTAAGCATGAAATTGAAACGCAGAACAGACAAGCTACAAACTTTAACTTCAGTCCTAATGATTATCTTAGGGATAACCTGGGAAATAGTTATATGCCAGATGTACTTAACAAAGTATCACTCATCCTGACTGCAGCTGATCAGAATTTAACAGATAGCATGCACTAAAAAATAAAAAAATATCCATGATAACAGGAAGAACAGGACCATCCTTCTATAGATAATAAGACAGTATAAGGAAACTAAAAAAATGAATTCATACTGGTTTCTGAGTGTAGAATCATATTGCAAAACTTTAAGCTGTATTGCACTGTCCTATTTCATGCAATTATTTTAAAATTTAGCAAATAAGAGAAGTGTTTTTTAAGTAACAGCCGTTTCAAAATAAGAACCAAATGAAAGAAAATTTTCAAAAACCAAGTTTATTTTCAGATTCTACATACATGTCTCTTTTTTCAACATAGTTGCCAAATTTGTTTAAACACTTATCATACCTTAGAGAACTAGATTTTGAACAGTGGCCGAGCGGTAAAGTAGCCGAACACTGATAGTTCGGTCCGAGGTTCGAATCCCGCAAACGGGCTGGTTGCATGGGCATTTTCGTGGTTTTCCCCATGTGAAAAGTGTATACGAGCCAGTTTCCCTTAGAAAGTCCTCTACGAAGGCATCCTTCCCCTTTGGCAGATAGCCCTAGTGTGCTCTGCCATAATTTGAATAAACCAAACCTAGATTTTGAATACCCTCTTCATAGAAACTTGCCGCCTACTCTGATAAACAAGATGTCATTACCTGTTTTCACGTCTTCATTGTTCTAGTGGTTGCCGCCGAGATAACATTTGAGATAGCAGAAAAGGTGAAAATCAATTGGTGCAAGGTCTGGACTGTATAGGGCCCAAAACTTTCCAGCCAAAAGAGTCCAAAAAAAAACTCGGATCTGAGCTGTGGCGCGAGGCCTTGCATTGTCAAGGCGTAGTAAAATTCTCTCTATCAGCATGTTGCATCTTTTGTTTTGAATCATTCTGCGTAGCTTTCATAAGGGTTTGGCTGTTGGCTACAGCATTTATGGTGGTTCTGTGTTGCATGAAGTCGACCAACTAAACACCATGCCAATCCCAAAACACGGACACAATGATCTTGTGCTAGGACAGAGTCTGTTTGGCCTTGACTCTTACAGGAGAGTGTGTGTGTGTCTCCACACCATGGTCTGTTGCTTCAATTCAGGAGTGCCACGTCAAACCCACGTTTCCTCTCCCACTATGATCCGACTCAACATGGCATCGTCTTCTTTTTTATAACAAGTCAAAAAAATCAGCAGACACTCAAATCTTTCGTTTTTTTTTTAATCCTCCGTTAGGAGTTTAGGGAGCCAACGGGAGTGCAGTTGCTTAAACCTTAACTTTTCAGATACATTATTGTACACCACTGACCTACACACTTCAGGAAATTCATTTGAAAGAGTGCTTATGGTAAAGCGTCTGTTCTCAAGAATTTTCACTTTAACTGAACCGACCGTATCATCTGTGATCACAGATGGGCAACCGGAGGTGGACATTGTCGGGGCTAGCTTTGAAGTCTCTGACCCACTTATGCACTTTGTTTTTACTCATGGCATTAGCTCCATAAACTTCACAAATCTGCTGGTGAATATCTGCAGCAGACAGGTTTCTTGCTGACAAAAACATATCACTGACCATACCTTGCATGGGGCAGGCGATTTGATAATCTTGAACATTTTAAAGACACAGAACAGGCCGTACATGTTACCTACACACTGTAACTGAGCACAGTTCAAGGAATGGCAAGCTACAACGCAAGCACTTGTTTTGGCATGCGCACATAGTGTATACAACAAAACGGCACTTACTTAAAAAACACGCTACGTATATGTGATATTTTGATGCACGCTGCTTGAAAATGATGATAGAAGAAACCGTTACTTTTAACATTTGGCAGTCGTAAAAGCTGAGTGTAGTGGCACGAAAACGAAGCTGACAAAACTGAATTCGAATACTCACAATGTTTATTCTTCTGCACATCAAATCTTTTTTTTTTTTTTTTTTTTTTTTTTTTTTTTTTTTTTGTCGACAAGATACTTCTTGATCATAGTTAAATACAATAATTTTTATGTACATGGGTTAGAAAAATGCTACGTTATCTTAGGTAAAGAACAAAGGATGACAATTAAGCATAGCAGTCCAGAGATGTTTTGCAGGGCAGGAAAAATTAAGAAAAGGTGATGTAATTGCTTGCAAAGCAGTATTTATACTAGGCAGGTGCATATGTACAGCTAAGCTGTGATTGCTTAATTTTAGATTTAGTTCTCTCTGCAAGCAGCATTATGTAAGCGTCAGATGATTTTGGAAAGATCTTGAATTTAGGAGAAAAGATTAATTTAGGGGGAGGACATGACATTTTGAATAGTCAATTATGAGGTTGCCAATTATTTCTTGGTGTAGCCATAGTATTTTATTATATCTTATATAAGCATGATACTTCAGACTACAAGAAATATTTAGTCCAAATTAAATAAAACATATTTTACCAATTCTTCTTTAATTTTGTGTTCTTTAGGGTCAATTCCAAGTGTGACCAAGTACACTGCAAAGCAAAAAAATTCTTAAACAAATTGTACCATTTTTTAGCAATAATTAAGAATATGTACATTTTTAAGAATGTGTACATTAAGATGGATTAAGATTTTTAAGAATATGTACATTAATTAAGAATATGTACATTTGCAATAATTAAGAATATTCATTTTTATTATAACAGTTATTATGATATGAAGACAACATATGGTTGATATAGAAAAATTAAATATGCATACATATTGTTGCATGTGTACGGGTTCATTATGAATTGAATGCGCAAGTCCGATGAAAAATGAATAAGATTTATTATTATCATAAATAAATAAAACAAAACTCTTAAATTTCCTCAGATATTTGTGCAGTATTACAATATCTCACAGTAGTTATCTTTTAAATACTTGAACGTTCAACAGAACTTAATTCAAAACATCCGCGAATTTGCTACTGGCAACAAGAGCAGTTTTCTAAACAAATTCTTAAAACAACAACAAAACTAACTAAATTGAGAAGTTTTTCCTTCTTTTTACAAGATTTTAAATAGCGCGCGAGAATTTTCTGGAAATCAAAAAGATATTTATTTATTAAGTGTTAGATGCATGTGCTCTTGTATTTTTAATTTTCTGGCTTAGCTTTCCTTTGTCATGTGCTGCATTTCACGGGGAATAAAACAATTTAATTTATAATCTACTAACATTACCTATTTAAATACCAAATCCGTAACACTGCCCCCTTCCCAAGGACTGCACGTCCCGCGCAGTACAATCCCTAGACAGGAAGCCAAATTTACAACTAAGGTATAAATGCAATAATAAACATTGCATTAAAATAACAAATAACATGAGCAATAAATGCAATAACTAAACAACTTAAACAAATCAAATACTAAATACAAGTCAAATCAAATACTAAATACAAGTCAAATCAAATACAATACACATCAAATACTAAATACAAGTCAAATCAAATACACATTTAGAAACAAAAGAGACCATGGTCTTACACTATTTACAATTATTTACACTATGTACTATGGCCATAGTAATGAGCTAACCTGTCATAATGAACGACTTTAGGTTTAGAGTTCAAAGACTTACAGATCCGAACCACGACGGCATTCAGCCTGTTCAGGACTGAGTACAGACTATCCCAAGGTGACTGTAATTTAGGCCTGACTCCTTTTCGTCGAATTGGATTGCTACATATTACCAGCAGTTTGTGGTGTTTCTTTCCTTACATCACTTCACAGAATAATACAAATTGATGCATATTCAGTCTAAATTTTCAATACACTAACAAAAGGAAAATCTTATGAAAAGTTATTACTAAGCATTTTGTACTACAGACAGGTGTTTGAACTTGAAGGAATACATATTATTTTAACATTTTCTTATAACATTTTTTAATATTTTATGAGAAGAAGCACTTAATGCAACTGTCAACAAGAAAGTTAATTCAACATAATTTAAAATGGCAAAAATCAGTTCAAATACTTACTCCAAAATAAAGAATTTAAAGCATAGCCACAAGTCAAGTTTAATCTTGCTTTTTCAAGAGGACTCAGCTGAACAATGGAGAAAGAAAATATAATGATACTACAGCTTAGAATATCTTGAAGGTATTTTCTATTATGTAACCTTCTTAAAATATAAGAAAAAATGTGAAAACCTAATTTTATTAAAATTTCAGATGCATTTAAATACGATAAACATACTACTGGAAAATATTTTTACACTTGAAAACTTAAATAGATTTAAAAAAAAGTACTAATCTACCATTAATATTTTATACAATGAAAGATATCTAAGATCTCTCTTTAACTTAATTTAGATGAAAATTACTAATCTACCATTAATATTTTATCTAATGAAAGATATCTAAGAACTTATTTTGGATGAAAATTTACTATTTTTTTAAAGTCAAGAGTCATCATTCAACAAGTCTTCATTATAAAAAATTAATAGGACATTGAAATTAGCACAAATAACATAAAGAATAAAATGGTAGTAATGTTTTACATATACAGCAATGGCAACAAAAATAACTGGAAACCTTAAATCAAGATGCATTTTCAGAGAACATTATTTAAGTTTATAGCCTGCAATTTTCTCCAGTTTAATTCCAGGTAATGATTCTGATGTCTTAAACAAGAAATGCATTAATCATGAATTTTTATGAAACATAATATAATGATCTCATTTGCTCACAAAAAATGCTCAGTGTACTAATCCAATCCATCTAAATCTGAGGCCTGCATCCACTGCTAAATTCCTGGCCTAGAATCGCCAGTTTGCTATTTCTCATAGAGATGTCCAACTTATTGTAACATATATTACAGTGAAAGTCTTGGCAATTCCTTGGAAAATTTTTTAGATCGCATTACTGACCAGTTATCACCCTAGGATACAGAACAGCAATCCTAGAACTGGTTTAATGATGCAAAATGAGAAACTTGCACGCGAGAGGAATGAAGAAAAAAAGCCTGAAAATGGTAGGTGGGTTTAGTTCACTTTAGGGTACTTCTTGTATTATAGCGAAGTCATTGTTTCATTTATTGCCAAGTTGTTTTGTTTATTGCCAAGTTGTTTTATTTATGGTAGCCTGAGTAGTTGAATGTTATGGAAACCCTATTTGTTTGCATTATTCCGGGAAATTTTGAATCATGGGATGTTTTGTAAGGGGCTTTTGTGGTGTGTGTTTAAGAAATACATTGCTTGTTTTATTGTTTAGATGGTAGAATGGCTGAATGTAGTAAGATTAATTTGAAGTTTCTGTATGATTTGGAACGAAAGGCAAAAAGTGCATTAATTGTAAATGAAGGTTCCTTAGTAGCCATTTTCGGGACAGTCCAGAACATATAGGATGTTTCTGACTCTTATTTTTGTGAATTTATGTGGTGACGCAGTTATCCAGATTCTAGTTCAGATAATTTTAGTAATGTTAATGCATAATCCTTTTTTATGTTATTTTATTGTTTGGTTTAAAATGTAGTTTATTGAGATTATGTATTTCTTGTTATTGGGTGCTCCTTTAACATTTTAATTGAAAATATATCGGTGTACATGGACAAACTCAAGGGAGAGGCAAAGCCTAGTTTGTGCAATTCTCTGCTTTTTTTTTAAAGTGAAAATAGGTCGATGTGTACATGGATAAAGTCAAGAGAGTGCCCGATGCCATTTTTGTGCAATTCAATTTTTTTAAGTGAAAATAGGTCGATGTGTACATGGGTACCGAGTTTGTGCAATTCTTTGTCTTGTTATTTTGGCTTTGTGTAGCAGCGATTGAAATCGCCACTACACAAATTCGATATCCATGTACCACCAAAAATCGCCAAGTTTCACTATTTTTGGTGGTACATGGATACCAAATTTGTGCAAGTCTTTGACGTTATTTTGGCTTGCGTAGCAGTGACTATGCAAAGCCAAAATAACAAGACAAAGAACTGCACAAACTCGGTATCCATGTACATATTGATCTATTTTCACTTGAAAAAAAATCCCGGAATTGCACAAAAATGGCATTGTGCACTCCCTTGACTTTATTCATGTAAACATCGACCTATTTTCACTTAAAAAAAACATCGAGAATTGCACAAACTAGGCTTTGCGCACTCCCTTGAGTTTGTCCATGTACACATTGATATATTTTCACTTAAAAAGTCAAAGAAGCACCCAATTTTAGAGGCAAACAAAAAATACATAATCTCAATAAACTACATTTTAAGCAAAACAATAAAATAACATAAAAGAGGATTATGCATTTAAGCATTACACAAAGCAAATATCCACTCACCTTATTTATAAATTTATCTGTCTTCAGGCACAATAAAATTCCTTAACAGCATCCAAAAACTTCCTAAAATTATCTGAACTAGAATCCGTATATTGGCATCGCCACATAAATTCACAAATATAAGAGTAAAAAATATCCTACGTATGCCGGACTGTCCCGAAAATGGCTATTAAGTAAACCTTCATTTACACACCAGTCAATTAATGCACTTCCCCCCTTTCATTCCAAATCGCACAGAAACTTTAATCTTACTACATTCAGCCATTCTACCTTCTAAACAATGAAACAAGCAATGTATTTTCTAACCACACACACCACAAAAGCCTTTACAAAACATCCCATTCAAAATTTCCCGCAATAATGCAAACGATTATGTCATAATAGGGTTTCCATAACATTCAACTACTCAGGTTACCATAAATGAAACAACAACTTAGCAGTAAACGGAACAACTTGGTAAATGAAACAACAACTTCGCGATAATAATACAAGGGGTACCCTAAAGCAAACTCTAACCAATAAAAGTACTTACAGCTTTGTTATGAGAATTAAATAACTTCAGCAACTCTTTGAGAAGCAACCTATCTAGAAATGCTGAGCCCCTTTCAAGCTCTCAAAGGAGTATCCTGACTGAACCTTGGTCATAGTACATGTAACCAGTTTGCCCCCCCTCCAAAAAAAAAAAAAAAAAAAAACTGAAAAAAAGAGCTAAGGTCATGTTTTGAATGACCTCTGCATTTACCTTTGTGACATCCTGATGGCTATCACTTGCTATAAAAATAAAGTGGTCCTTATAATAACTTATAGAAACAGAATTAGGTGAATCTTTGAATTATGATAACTTGGAGATTTTTTGGCGAAAATTTGGCGACCAACCCTGCTATAGCAACCTGCTAGTTTTTTTTAGGGGGGACGCCATTTTGTTTTCAAGAAGTAATGGCATGTTGTTTTTTTTTTTTTTTTACTCAACATTTTCCCCAACAATCTGCTAGCCGAATTACACTTATAGTAGAACTTTTATGGAACGAAAGTGTTTAATCATGATGAAGATTAGGTGCGAAATTGGGAGAAAGTGCAGAATGGCCCACTGCTTCGCACGTTTTTAAGAATTGCACATATGCGGTATCCATGTACACGTCGACCTATTTTCACTTAAAAAAACATCCCAGAATTGCACAAAAATATCATTGCACATACTCTTGACTTTATCCATGTACACATCGACCTATTTGCACTTAAAAAGTCAAAGAAATTGACAAAAATCCAATTCTTCTTACTCTTGTAAAAAGCGCCAAACAAATAAGTGGGCGATTCTGCACTTTAGCAGCGAAATTGTTTCTATGTGTTTATTAGCTAAAATCACGATCAGAATTTTCCGGAAAATGTCACGACATGTCTCATGATCTCTCATTTCTCAGAGACAAAATAATGTGTGAATCGAACTGTGTACTTCTCAGATTATTGCTAAAGTTCTACCTAGTAACCTTCATCGCCTTACCAAAATGTCGCCAAAACTACCTGTTACCATATTCCAAAGATTAGCCCAGAATTATTTTCCATTATACTTGTTGCTCTAATGATCAGCATTTGGTAATAAGTCTGAAATTGATTAAATAATTAAACACATATAATCTAATCAATTAAATTACTAGTTGATAAAACAGTATGTCACTGCACGATTTATGTTCTAAAATGCAACTGTATTTCTAAAACAAATTAATGTATTATGCAGGAAACTAAACTAAACTATGCAGGACAGACGATTTATTTAAAAGATTCTCATGCTGCTTGCATTCTTTGACTTCATATTTTGTTTTGTGTATGGGCCATCTTGATATTGTGCCTTCCAAGCGCCAATCTTGGCGTCAAAAAAGAATCGCCAAGAACAAGGGGCACCCAATTGTAAACTTTTACCCTAGTTTCTAAAGTGTAAATTAATTTTATAAATTTAAAGTAATAAATTTTGAGGAAAATCTTTAAAATAATGTTTAAAAAATTCTTGAATTGCTACATTTGACTTAAATATATATATATAATGTTGTATGATCTTAAATCCATTTAGTGCGAATACAAGTTATTATTACTTGCACAATTGCTGCAAACTTAGTTAATAATAATTTATTTCCTAAACAGTATTGATTAATTGATTATATTATCTCCTAAGTTTAATTAAAGTAGAATTATTTTAAAAGTGTGCATCCATACTGGTAAGTTATATTTTGAAAGATGTTTTGAAGTAATTTGAAAGCAAAATGTTAATAATGTTTTAACGGGGACTGAAGTTAAATCATCACGAAGAATAATATATATTTCAATTGTAAAAGGAAAAATTAAAACATGTAGTCATTGTCATTGATCGGAAATTAGTTGACTTTTCAAGGGGAACAAACCAATTCCCGTTCAATGAACAATAACTGATAAATATAAGTAAATACGAAAGTGTTTCGTCTTTACTCGAGTTATAAGTTAAAGCCAAACCGGCAATTCTAGTCAGGTCAAATATTTCCGCGAATAGTAGGAATTATGAGCCAATGCTGATACTCAAAGAACTTATTCTTACGAAGCATTTTAGTCAATTCAATTTGAAGTAAAAATCAATTGCTGTAGAGAAAACCTATAAAACTCGAGTAACTGTCCTCGACACTTTCATGTTTATGCATTTGAGTACTATATTATTTGTAGAAATTAAACATTGGAAATTTTCATTATGAAATCGAATTCAAAGTAAAGTTGAAATAAACATAGAAGATTATAAAAAAAAAAAAAAAGAAAAGAAAAAGATAAATAATGCAAACTTTGTAAAAACAAATCAAAGAAAATATAAAAATAATATAGAGAATAATATAAATAAGATCAGTGAATGTACATGAAGATATAAAGGCCAGAAAAGGTATTAAGTAACTTACATTCTTTCTAGTGGGGGAGTTGGCAAAGTGTTCTCTTCGTGTCTGACTCAGAAGTGTAGGGTGTCCGAAAATTCTTAGCGGCAGTAGGGGCTTTGAATAATATCAGTTGATAAGACTTGGGTGAAGTAATTTATGGTAATTTATGGTAGTGGGTGGGACTTGGAATTCTTGAGGGATGCATTTTGTGGAGTTCTTATCTGAGAGAGACCGTCTGTTAAGATTTTTTTGAAAATACTAGTGAATGGAAATTAATTAATTTCTGGCTAATTGTCCTGTCGCAATGATTAAGAATTTAAGAAAGGAAAAAGGCATTTTTACTGTCCAAGAGCTGATAGACAGTCTAAAGGCATGAAATAGGCCCATTTTTTTAGTAACAGTATAGTAACAGTATGTGTCTGAAGACAATTAGCTTTTTACAATATATACAATTGAGTAATTACACTATACACAAATCTTCCAACTAACAGTCATCCAACTTATACCGCCTTCTCAGGTTTAGGAATAAATTATCATATCCCTATCAGTTAAATGATTTAGAGTGAGTATTTAACGCCTGCTCTTTTAAGGCAATGGTTGATAAATTGAAAGGGAATTAGATTATTTTTGAGAATTTTGATAAGGATCAAAATTTCGCGTTGTAAATCTATTGTATCTGTGCATATAGTTTTAATTCGTTGTATATTGTTAATTACTTTTTTGGATATGTTGGAGTTCCAATTTATTAATTTGTTAGTATTGAAATTGAAGTTTCTTGTTTTGTCAAAAAGTAAAAATTTTTTGTAGTTAATGATTTGAAGATCTAGAAAGTCTATGCTATTTTGTGAATTATTAGTTTTATTAAGTGTGAGACAATTCAGATAAATCTCGGAGTGTTCAATTTTACCAAAATTATTAATTGTAATAAGGTCATCAATATATCTGTAGGTGTGTTTGTAGTAATTTAACTCTTGTGGTTGTAGATTTTTTTGGAAGTTAAATTCTTTGACAAATAAAAAGATATTACAGATCAAAGTGCTGGAATGTAAGCCCATTGGCAATCCTGTGACTTGTTTAAAAAGTTGATTTTGAAACTTGATGTAGTTATGAAAAAGTGTGCATTTTAGGTAGATTTTCCATTTGTTAAGAGTCATGATATTGAGTATATTAGGGAAAAGTTTTGGTAGATCAAGTAGACTGGTATAGATTTCTTCTAGAGGAAGTGAGGTATATAAGTTTTCAAAATCATAGTAGTTAATGTTTTGGATGTTAATGGTATGAATGGTATTAATAACAGGAGTGTTATTATGAATGATCCAGCAATAGTTATGATTAGTGTTACAATCATTGAAAATAAATTTACAGATTTTATTAAGTTGAATTGAAAAATAATAGTCTACATTTTTCTTGTAATTATTAGTTCCATAATATTAATATGTTCCATTATAATATATAATGTTCCATTATAATTAAACTTAGGAGATAATATAATCAATTAATCAATACTGTTTAGGAAATAAATTATTATATATATATATAAAGTACTTAAGGTAATCAAGTAACACGAAATAGAATGGGTTTTAGAATATAAACTACGAACTTCGGAATATCTAATTTATAAAATAAATTTAATGAACTGTAGCAAGAATATAGGAATCGTGTATTATGACTAGAGTAAATAAAAGTTAGTATGACGTAATACGAAATAATTAGACAATCTCTCAAGATTTCATATAAACCATCAGAACTTGGCGAACAGAAACGTAATAAAAAAACGACTTATTTCATGTGCTTCATTCTGTACGATCCATGAAAAAACTTATGTCAACAAATGGAAACAAGTATCCATTCTCATCAAAGATATAGTCGAAAGCTCGGATGGTACAGTTCAATTTACTTCAATACTAAATGAAATAATTGATTATCTTTTATGCTCATAATTTTACTCACAAGAATATTCGATTATAAGTACCAATTTACAGGGATGAGGAAGAAATTTTTACCTTTAAGTCTGTGGAATTTATATTTATCTCCTTGAGAGGCCTCAGGACTTCCTCCATATTTTTTACAGATTGGTGAAAACCTTGTAATTGATCTAGAATTTCATCTGGAATATCTATTTCTTTGTTATCCATAATTGAGAGACAATTTATTTGTTAAATTTAACGTCAGCACATTTTTCTTCACCGAACCACAACAAATAGACGAACTTCCGTTGCCAAAAGAGGATTTTTTTGATTAAAAGATTAATAGTTGCTAAAAGGAGCTGTTCCTAAGAATCTCAAAGAATCGAAGAAATACTTTTCCTAATATAATATAACTTTTCGTATCATTATGAATTTAAGATATCGTCTCACTAGTTTATTTAACAAATAATGTTATGGGATGCGTAATCATTTTGCTAACACGACATAATAAGCAACATCTGGCAACACCATAAAAGTGTTGACAACGTGATATAGTAAAAGGTAGCGGTCTTCCAAGTAAGTAATTTTTTAACATATGTGTAGATCATTTCAGGTTATTACAGTTTATTTTTAGTATATTTGATATATGCATATATTCACTGTACCTTACTACATCTCCGAAGTACGTGTGAACTTTAAAATCATCTCGTTCTCTTTGAAACTTGCTTAATGACTGACGTGTATTAACGGATATTAGATTTGTATCTTGCAGAAATTTTTATGAATTATATTTCTGATTGAAATAATTTTTTCCTATTTCATTGCCATCTCTAGTAAGAAATATTTCATTGAAATTACGAATTATGTGTACTATATTTAGAATAAGTGTATGTGCAGTTGTTTTTTAACGGGCTCCCATGTTGAAAGTTAGTAGCAAATAGTGAAGTTATTGAGAAAAACTGGTGGTTTCTGTCTTTCCAGATAAGAATTGCATAAAAATTGACAGCCTGTGTAAGGCTGATTATCATTTACATCTAAAATAATTAAATGTTTTAACAGTCCAGAAATAAACCATGCCATATTCCAGATCCCTGATATACCATATTAGCACAGTTTGCCTAATGCATTGTTTAATATGAAATTCGTTGCTTTAATAGCTCTTTTCATATGTAAGAGTAATAATAAAAAATGAAATTCTTTCGAGTACTGTAATGATTTGTTTTAGAGCCTGTGGAATTATTTTATTACAAC